ATGTAATGATATACAGCCATGGTACATGTAATGATAGACAGCCATGTTACATGTAATGATATACAGCCATGTACATGTAATGATATACAGCCATGGTACCTGTCATGATATAGAGCCATGGTACAGTAATTTTTTTTCTCTCGATGTGCTCGAATTACATCCTGCTTTTAATCTTTTTGTTCAATGTAATCAGTTTAATTCCCCCAGGGAAATTTTAAGTTTTTAAATAAAATAAATAAAAGTCATGTCAATGACAACGCTTGTCTATATATGAGACATTACGCATTTCATATAAACTAGCATGAACCTGAGTTAAATACATTAAACAAATACAAATCTTTTCTCTCCCATGCACTTCATCTCTCTTACAAATTGCGCCCTCTAGTGACGAAACACTTCCAAAAATGAAAGAATGCGCGAAGGCAGTTTGAATCATCGATATCGTTTTGATCTGTAGCCAATCAATGAAGATTAAGGTTTTGAAATATTTTGAGATATGACGATCGACTACACATCCAAACACAGTGATCGATTTGAATGTTTGAATGTAATAGGAAATCTCATTCATTATAGGAATTTTGTATTGCCTACTCCTTCAGTTAAACAAAATATTATTTTTGTAAAATTAACTTGATAGTAATATACATGTAATCTGTAACTTGTCTTGGTACAATTTGTTTTAGTATTTTGATATTAAAATAAATATAATTGATTGTTTGGTAGATCGCCGTTTTTAACAGTTTACTGAGTTTGTTCAATCTATGTATGTACATTAAATCAGAAATTATCACAAAACATTTTGTGAAACAAACTCGCATAAGTTGAGGTCATGTTGGAAATGTAAATATCTGATAATAACAGATATATTCGACCTACTATAAACTGTTCAAGAAATTGTCTAAACAGATTGAGAACGTTGGCGTGTGTTGAAAAATGGATTTAAATGACGTGGTATATATGAAATACTAGTACAAGTAGTTCTTTATGAACTGGGTACGACTTTTCCGTATCCAGTCCATAAAGGTGTTATCATATACCTTATAGGTGTAATTATAATTTTACCACGGAGCGACCTCAAAAAACAAAACAAAAAAAAACACGTAATTTAGAATGACGCGTTTTGTTTTGATTGATGAAAGCTTTGCGCGCTGGACCAAGCGTGATACGAGAAATTATTGCCCTGATGTGAGGGCGCACCTCCCATAGCGTTACGAAGCCGGGCAATATGAGGTGTATGGTAAACGGCTTTATCACCCAGAATTGTCATGCGATAAATGAAATTACCCACCAGAATAGTACCCGTTACAAATTAATTATGTAAATGAGCATGTAAGTCACGTATTTAGCGTATCTGTTAGACAGTTATTCATTTCAACATATACATGTACTACCAAAACAACTATGCTACAAAATTGTCACCGTTGTCAACTGAAATAGATAACATTATGGAACTGAAAGTAGTAGTATGCGTATACTTGCAATGTAAATGTTAAAGAATATAAACGAACGTTATGTCACGAACGACTAGTGAGGCCGCTGTTAAATAGTGAACTATCATTGGTAAGTTCCTTTCAACTTTTCATCAAATAGTCAACACTGTGCGCTGACATAAAATCAGTATAATTACGTATTTAAGCACTTTTAAAATTTGAAATTAGAGAAAATAAACGATGCTGACCGTTGTAACCAAGCCTGAGTGAACATTTATTTATCCTTATCACTGCCCTTCCGATTATTCAATTGGAATACCCTTTGTATGAAACACTACACTTGTCTTCTATCATTCACTCATTTTACTAGCCTCCAAGCAACCTAATATTGAAAAAAATGATGTTAATGAGGAGGATTTAGTTAGTTGAAGTGCAATATAGTTTTTGTGAGGCTGAAATTGTAATCGTTGTTTACTGTAACGCTCTATTACTCATAAAATAAAATAAAAATAATAAAAAAAGATTGACATATTCATAATGCATTTCAATCAATAAATGAAAATGCCATTTGATATGTAACACTTGCTTTATCCCATTAACAACTAACTTTCTTTTTGTAGTAGTAGTTATCACGACTAATCTTTATTGCTATTAACTGATAGAAAAATTGTATTTCTAAGGATAAAGTTATTATTATTATTATTATTATTATTATTATTATTATTATTATTATTATTATTATTATTATTATTATTATTATTATTATTATTATTATATTATTAACACGTGTAATGCAATTAGCGTGACTCATTGGCCAATTAGAAGACGTGACAGTTGATTTTCAATGAATGACTGAAAATATTCAAGTATTCGATAGAAATATCTAATTGATTTGTGTCGCCTTCAATCCTCACTACTTTCGTTTATATATGGTCATTTTTACGTGCGTGCTAACAGTATCTGGTCCAACAGACAGAAAATGGCGTACGACAATTATAATTATAATTAAGATTTTTTTATTCTGAATATTAAATACCTTATCACAAAGAATAAGGAAGAAACGGACAATTATAATCCGACCTCATATGCTTTGTTTGTTTTGCATCGAATGACTTCTACACGGGGTATTACTAACATGCTTTAGATTGTGACAAATATTTTTGCAATTTGGTTGAACACATGTCCGTCCAATATTCAAATTGACTATAATGATATTATTTTTATTTCAATAATTCGATAACTTCTTTTTTACAGCTTTATAAACTATTGGTACAAATATAAACTAGTCGTCGGTGTAATTCAAGTTTTTTTTTCTTGGTTTCTTTTCGTGATAGTGCTGTGATTTTTTTTCTAGTGTTTTGAAAACAAATACTCATGTCTTTTCCAAGATAAAAGGGCAATGGTCGTCGCGCAGTGCGTGTTCGAAATTCATTGTAAACAAACAATGTATTTCACACGCGTTGTGTACGTCGCTGATGATTCCCGCATCGAACGGGGCGCGGCGCACGACTACCGCCCTTTAAAGATTGCCCCCCCCCCCTTCAGACCGTGTGTGGTGCATTCAACACGTATATTTTCATCAAATGATAAAAATAACAAACATTTTTTCTGTAAATATTAAAATTTAGTTTAAAGCTGGGAACAATGAATGACAATCATCATCCAGGGAGTAACATGTGGAGCAAGTTAAACGTTGAGGTCAGAGGTCAGAAGTGTTGAGAACAGGGCATGCGCATTACATATTAATAACATGGCGGCGGCGAATTTCAAAGTTTTACGTGGGCTCCTTCCCATCGCGTTTTTAGCTGTCTTCGTTGCAGGTGATGCCCCAAAACTTCTCAACAAGAGTGAGCTTGATGAGCTAGTCAACCAAGGGAAACGTGTCGTCGCAAATTTTGGTAAGTATATAGAAATCGCCGGCACATACGGCAGCAATCCGGCGTTGAGTGATCCCTTGTTTCGATCATCAACGTGTCTCGTATGCACAACGACGTTTGTCGGTTCGCGTGGGAAGTTTTTGTTTTCTACGGTCTGTCGGGAATGTTAAATTACTGACGGGGAGAAGCCCCAAGATCCGCGTCTAGTTTAATGAAGATTA